TGAGTGACCTGTATTCCAGTATACTGTATATTCACAGTGAGTGACCTGTATTCCAGTATACTGTATGTTCACAGTGAGTGACCTGTATTCCAGTATACTGTATGTTCACAGTGAGTGACCTGTATTCCAGTATACTGTATGTTCACAGTGAGCATGGGCGTCGCCACCATTAAATCTGAGGGGGACTTGTCCCCCTCACATTTCATAATTATTCGTTTGGATCCCCCCCACATTTAACATAAAATATTAGTTTTATGCCAGTGTGTCCCCCCCCACATTCAAAATGCTTCTGACAACTCTGATAGTGAGTGACCTGTATTCCAGTGTATTGTATGTTCACAGTGAGTGACCTGTATTCCAGTGTCCTGTTATGTTCAAGCGAGGGATAAATCACATATAAGATACATTCTGGATGTTTCAATTATTATCTTACTATCAGCATCATTATTAACTTTTAAAAGTGTACGAGAATCTGTAGGATCAGGAATATTTTAATTATACACATTCCCTTGTAATGTCTTTTTTGGGGACATTGATAAAGAGATGGGTAACCCACTGAAATTATACACTTTGGGGCAACTAAGTTATGCAGAGTACTAATGTCTCAGACAGGCCTCACAACTGTAAACTGAATCAAATGGAAATTAATCACTTGTAACCCTGATCAAGATAACTGGGTGGATGGATTGATGGAACTGATGACATCACTTGCAAACTCACAGTTTAAATAATCACTGTTTATATCTGTGTACGTCATTTCTTTGGTACCTGAATCACTTTCTAAATCTGTCTCTCTATTTCTGTGTGTGTCTCTGGGCATCGGTCCTCACAAAGGCCGCCTTCCGCTCGGTGGAAATTCGCCGACAAAGACACGGCAGGACTTTGGAAAGAGCTGGCACGGCATTGGGTCGCAAGTTTGTTCCTTTAACTGATAATTAATGAAACACGTGGGAGCGTTTTATTGACACTTGTTTTGTATTTAACAGCCAGGAACCAACAAGCGTAAAACACCGTTTTGTGGCTGTCTGAATTGCTTTTCACAGACTCTTTAGTGAAGGTAATAATGTATGTGAAACAGCGATTAGGAAAGCAGAACAGGTTCGGAGCATGAAGGCGGTGTACAGGGTGATGCGGGTTCGGCTCGATCGGACTTATGAGGAAAGCTCATGTTTTTATGCTGAACCACTGACTGAGGGGGCTTCGAGCCTCATTAGGCCAAATTAGCAGATTTAGGATGCAGATAATCTGGCTCAGTGTGTGAGTGGTAGCTTCCGACGTTGTCGGCCACCCCGGCTGGGCTTTGTCGGACCTGCGTGGGCCCGCTCTGAGAGTACACGCAGATGACCAGTCGATAAACGTGAATGCATAATGAATGAATGGAGCGATGGTGAATAAATATGAATCGGGTAGCGTGGAGTTGTGGAATGCCGGCACTGCGGATGGTCAACGTGGTTCCTCGGCGATGCCAGAACCTTACCGCAGTGGCCAGTAACGTGCAAGTTCTTCTCCATGATGTCTAGAAACACGCATGCGGTGGACAAAATTAAGGAATCGCCTAATAATCTAATAAAATTAAACACCAAATAAGTGGTAGGGCCGCCCTTTGTCTTCAGCCCTTCTTTGAATGCTGTCACTACGAGCGCTGACCTGTAGGCAGTGGAATATTGGGCCATTCTTCAAGGCAAGCAGCCTACAGCTCTTAGAGGGATGGAGGAGGTGGAAATCTGCTTTGCACTCTGCATTCCTGAACTTCCCATAAAAGTTCAGTGATGTTTAGATGTGGTGACTGAGGAGGTTGTGGAAGGCGGATGACTTTGTCCTGGTGTTCTTGAAGCCACTCTTGTGTTTTTTAGAGGCATTATCATCTCGGGTTACGGGAGCCCCCCCCCCCCCCCGAGGGAACAGAGTATTACTCAGCAGTCCAGGTTCTGTGCTCCCTAGGTCATCGTCCTAGGCGGTCTCTGACTGGCAACATGAGCAAAAACTCCAGCTTCATGAAGCTCATGACATGCAATATTTGTTGTGAGTGGGTGACAGAGACACTGATTCAGATCTGTGGCAACTTTTGAAGCCATTTGGGCTGTTTAACAACCATCCCATTCAGTGTCCTGTTTTATAGACTTTAAATTGTGTTGCATCTGAATTGTGCCACATAAATAAACTTGCCTTGCCTGACACTTACTGCTAGTTTGCATTCATTCTAATTTCTTTGACCTTTTTAGCTGCATTTTGAATTATGACTTAAATGCTTCAGTGTTACAGTGATTTTTAATGTGCTTTTTCCGCAGTGTGATTGGCAGTAAGGCAGTGAGAAAATCTGCTTAAGTGACAGGAGTTTGAAGGTGAGTCTCAGGCTGCACAGGGCACACCTCAGGAAGCCAGATCCTCCAGTGAACATCTCTCCTCACTGCTCCTCGCTGCTCCTCACTGCTCCTCTCTGCTCCTGCATGTGGCCTCCCGCCCGGTTCTCCTTCATGGTCGTGCCATGGTCACCCGGGCCACGGAGGACTGGGGCTTGGGGCTCGCTGACTGGGCTGGCCTTGTGGAGGCCTCTGTTGGGTTGGGGGGGGTGGGTTTGCAGAGTGCTCATGTGCCCACTCTGCGGGGGTATGCGTTCCTCTCCGGGCCTCTTCCATGAAGGAGGGTTAACAGCAGGCCTGCTTGTGCAGGATTACCCAGCGCTCTGGAATACTAACGAGGGCCTCTTTGTCACAAATCCGTGTCTGTCTCTCTTCCTCGGCCCCCTCCAGCACCCTCCCAGCCAGCTCTCTCTTTTACTCACACACACACAGACACACACACACACACACATACACACACACACACACACACACAACTCTGCCCCCCCCCTCTCAATGGTGTCCTTTGTCCCTTTCATCTTTCTTCTAAACAAAGGATTCTTGTCCACATGGGAGGGAGAGAGAAGCAGCAAAAGCGAGTGAGCGAGGAAAGGAAAGACACCAGCGAAAACGGCAGAGACATGGAGGACCGGCGATAGCAAAAGTTAGGAGGCAAGATAGGGATGAAGTGGACGGAGGAAGAGAACGGCAGAGTAACTATTGGTGATTATGCCACTAAGCCCGCTGGTTACGTTTTGGCAGTTCCGGCTGCTTTTCCGGAATGCGTTTTGTTGAACAGCCAATATTGTAGCTGATGATGTAAAGCCTCTTTGCTTAGGGTGTTTTTTTTTTTCAGAAATGGATGCAGGATTTAATTCAGTAACCGTAAGGCACTGATGTCATGAATGAAATATCACAAGTTGGAATGCAGCGATGCTGATCACACTGGCTACACGTGACGTCAGGGGTTTTAGTCGTCATGCATGGGCTGCTTTTGATAATCTGCTTACTTTGCAGATCTTATCTGTCTTGTCAGAGTTGCGGTTGAGTTGGAAACCGAAAAGTGCCATGGGGACTTCGTTAACGTCTCTGCGTTAGAAGGACTTGGGTGGAACATTGACACAGGGTAGTAGGTTACTGTTGGCGTGGTAATGATGGCTGTCACATGTCATCACTGTCTGCTGATACTGTGTTTGTGTGAGTGTGTGTGTGACAGAGGGCTTCTCTGCATGCACTGCTATGTGTGCGTGTGCGTTCCCCGTGCATGGCTGTGCACTGCGAATAGGTCAGGGAGGCACATGCTTGGCTGAGTAGGCTGAAGCCCAGCAGGAAGGTCAGAGGTCAGAGCTGTTGGCTGAGCAGCGTCCCCAGTGGACACTGATGAAAGTGCAGGCAGTATCAGCAGGCACAATGACAGAGTCAACTGCTTGCACACATGAAAAGTAGCTCTATCCTTCATTCTTAGATCCTTCGGCCCCTCAGATTCCCAGATAATTCACTCTTCCTCTTCTTCACATTCTGCCTGGTGATTATTATCCACACAACAAATGTTTCCTTTCTCTCCACTGTATTTTGATTAGCATTCCTTCCTAACCTTAGGGCCTCAGTTTGGATTTGAACTCGAACGCCAGTGGGGACTGTGGGGAGGACATGGGGCTGTGTAAACACGGTATAAACGCATTATTTACTTCAAAAGGCAACTCATTGTGTTTGGCATAAAGAAACATGCTATTGAGTTGCATACTATATGAACCGGGAGCATGACTGACAAAAAACAGCGATTCGTCACATGGGGAATGGTAGCTGATGTGGGGGAGGGCGGGGTGGGGGGGCGCCAGCGCTGCTGTGACCTTGCGTGACAGGGCTGCCGTCAAAGCTGAAGCCACCAGCTTCGATCTCCAAGCTTCTACATGCCTCCACCTTTCACTGTCAACCTTCATCTTCCAAAACAAATCCCATCCGTTTATATCGTAAAGACAGTCTGGATGTCGGTGGGATGGAGAACCGGACGTTATACTCTTACTGGCCGCTTACCTTGGCGTTGTGATGACACGCCTGGGAGATGAGTCTCCTAGAAAGGAATAAATTATTTCAAGCAAACCTTTAAGAAAAGCTGTATTTGGGAGGTGGAACCTTCCCTGTGGTTCCCCTTGCCTTTCAAAAGGGGAAAATGATTATCTGTTCTATCAGGAATGAGCGGAGCCTTAAGTGCAGTCACCAGAGGGACAGAAAGTAACCCATCTGAGCAGACTCAGATTACCTCGCTGCTTCAGATAGTGCTTTGATTCGTGGCTGTTGCTGCAGAGAATCATTATTATAATTGCCAGTTCTTATTCTTGAAGTCCTGCAGCTGTTGAATAATATTTATTGCTCGATTTATACAGATCTAATTCGTGCTAGGGGAAAAAGTTGTGAATGAAGAAGAGTTGGATGGTGAAACAGACAAGGGCAGCTTTGTGGATGTGCTTTTGTTCTCGCTGCTAGATTTACAGCCCCCCGTGCTTCATTCCCCCTGAAACATCGTAGTCCAAGCCACTCGCTCCCTCTGTCCTGTTTATATCCACACATCTTTGTTTGCCATGACACCAGTAGCTGCATTCAGTTCTGCGTATCATAAAAAATTCCCTCCGGCAAAAGTTTTCATCTGACTTAGCTAAAAGACTCCGGGAGGTTGTTGTCATAGTAACGGCCTCGTACACAACGCTCCCTGTGTAAGTGTAGTTAAGTGCGGGTTGCTACACTTGCACATAGACTGTTTCTGTGTATATATGTATGTGTTTGAAAGCTCTATTCATTCACTCCGTTTCGCCTTCAAGAACCTGAGGTGAAGGCAGCGGAAAGCAGGTTAAGTGCCGTATTTGCACTGTCTCTTTTCTGGCCGAAAGGGGGAATGTAGGTCTGGCCCCTCCCGGGAGATAGCGCCGGGTCTTCCCCTGAAAGGGCGAGACGCGGAGGTGCAAACCCGAGCTGGGGAGGGCGTTCCACCAAGATGGAGGGCGGGGCTGAAATCAGGTGAAAAGAGTGTGGGAAAACGGAGAGATAGGGTAACAGGGAACAAGTGCGGCTACATGGTGCCTGGGAGGGAGACCCTAGCGGACAGCAAGACGAGACGCGGAAAGACCAATAATGGGCCAATTCAAGTACAAATTTCTACCCTTGCCAGATGAAATGTTTGCCTGCTTCAATTCCCAGTTGAAAATTTGCCCTTTGCCCCATGTTTGCCAGTTAAAGGTTCCTCTCACGGAGAATAAAGCATGCCTTTTTCGTTCGTGTTTGCCCGGAATCGATCTGCACCGTAGCACAGCATTAAAAAAAAACTGCCGTTTTTGCTAATGAGGGAGAAAATTGCGGATTCGTCCCTCGCTGTCCCACACTGTTTTGCGGCATACAGCCAGACCCTCACAGGTCCGTTTTTACACATTGATAGACTTAATAAATACTGGTTGTAATTGATCGGACGTGACTCTGTTATGCGTGACGTCCAAACTTCCCCTGCGCTGACCCCACAGAGATGACCTCAGCCGCACCCCCCAACTCCCAGAGCACCTCCCCCCAGAAGGTGTGCCATTCTCAGACGACCCAGACAGACGTGCTGAAGCCTCTACTCACAGGGGGCATCGTCGGAGGACAGGGGGCGCTGCGGAGGCGCCGGCGCGTGCTTTCCAAGGATGGCCGGAGCAACGTGCGCATCGACCACGTCAGCGGGCGTGGGGCGCTCTACCTGCGCGACCTCTGGACCACCTTCTTGGACATGCAGTGGCGCTACAAGTTCTTCCTGTTCTCCGCCACCTTTGCCGGGACCTGGTTCCTGTTTGGGGTGCTGTGGTACCTGGTGGCCCTCGTCCACGGAGACCTGCTGGGTGAGTCCAAGTGGTCCGGAGGCCTGGAGGCACAGACTGGATGAGCGACCAGCTCGCTCACAGCTACAGAGGTGTTCATGCCTGGCCAAGACCAGGACATGCGTGTGTCACTACGGGTTAGGCCTCTGTGTCTGGGATCGGAAAACTTCCCGGTACCATTTGGCTCTGTGCTCTGACCCCAAACTTCAGTCACCAGTGAATGTCTGTGTCTCAGGATTGAATTTCATTGTACTTACAGTACTACCTGTGAGGATAAAGTCATTCTGTTCTATCTTGACAATATTTCCGTACATTCTAGTGGTTACTTTGAGACAATGAGTAATTTCAATTACGGCATTTTAGAGACCTAGTTTACGCACGACTCTCTTCATCCCATATAAATCTTTCGCCTTTTACTAAAGATTTTTGTGGAGAGGTGATAGTGATGAGTTCATGGTATTTTTGGAGGCTCTGCCCAAGCAGAGCCTGTCTCTTATACACATCTGGATAGCGATGAGTTCATGGTATTTTTGGAGGCTCTGCCCAAGCAGAGCCTGTCTCTTATACACATCTGGATAGCGATGAGTTCATGGTATTTTTGGAGGCTCTGCCCAAGCAGAGCCTGTCTCTTATACACATCTGGATAGCGATGAGTTCATGGTATTTTTGGAGGCTCTGTCCAAGCAAAGCTGCTTTTGTGGGCAGTGGTGGCTTAATGGTTAGGGAAGCGCACTTGCAATTGAAACACTGCAGGTTCGAATCCCCGACCAGCAAGGCACCACTGAGGTACCCTGAGCAAGGTACCGCCCCCAAGCACTGCTCCCCGGGCACTGAATTAGCTGCCCCCTGCTATGTCACGATGTCACATATGGGTTAAACGCAGAGGACACATTTTGTTGTTGTGCACTGTGTGCTGTGGTGTGTCAACAATAACCACTGATCACTAAATTCTAAAATTCACACTGAAATAGTTCAGAAATTCAGGCAAATGACATTCCCAGATTTTTTCCCTCCATATTCCTATTATTATTCCCATCATTATCATTAGTTACGTCCTTATGGCCCAAGTGCTCACCTACAGATGTAGATTTGGGCTACACAACAGAGAGTAACACTGCTCCCTAGTGAAAGTGCTGTCGAGTACACCTTGCTGCCAGGAGTGACCCTGTCCCGCACCCCGACCTCCTTGCCTTGGCAGAGTTTGACCCCCCGTCGAATCACACCCCGTGCGTGATGCAGATGCAGACCCTCACGGGGGCCTTCCTCTTCTCCCTGGAGTCCCAGACCACTATCGGCTACGGCTTCCGGTGCATCACTGAAGAGTGCCCGGTCGCCATCATCCTCCTCATCCTCCAGCTCGTCATCACCATGGTGATGGAGATCTTCATCACTGGCACCTTCCTCGCCAAGGTAGTTTAGGCCATATATCACAGTGCCACTTAGTAGTGCCACACCTTGTTCTTCTCATCTGCCTACGGTACCGAGTGAGATTTGTGAGCCAACACAAACACTAACTGCCCCCCCCCCGCCCCCACCCCGTTTGCCACACAGGTGGCACGGCCTAAGAAGCGAGGGGAGACAGTGAAGTTCAGCCAGCATGCGGTGGTGTCCAACCATGAGGGCCGACCCTGCCTCATGATCCGAGTGGCCAACATGCGCAAGAGCCTGCTTCTGGGATGCCAGGTGGATGGCCAGCCCCATGTGTCCCTCTGTGCGTCACTCTGTGTGTCCCATTGTATCTCTCTGTATGTCCCTCTGTGTGTCTCTCCATGTGTCTCTCTGTATGTTTCTCTGTGTGTCTCTCCATGTGTCTCTCTGTATGTCTCTCTGTGTGTCTCTCCATGTGTCTCTCTGTATGTTTCTCTGTATGTCTCTCTGTGTGTCTCTCCATGTGTCTCTC